GAAAAAAAGATTTGGTGTTAAAAAGAATTCTCCCAAGTGAACATAATGATAGAAAAAAATAGACTCCAAATTGGACATGATCATATATTATGAAAAAGACATTTTTAGCAAGAGCCCTAATTTTGTTAGAGATGGATGGAGATGACCTTTCTAATCCTATAAATTCTGATGTCATGAAAAAATACTTTGCTTAAATAACAAAAAAAATAACAAAAAAGAGTTTAAATTGAAAACTCTAAAGGGCTACTTAAACTAAATGGAGGTTTATCTAAGTTGAAAACCTATAAAGGCAACTTGGATAAGGAGGATATCGCATCATTCGAGAGGTGCACCAAAATCAGTGAATTTCAAAGAGTGCTGAAACGCTGAAAGCATTATATGGTTACGTTTTTTAAAAAATCCAAGATTTGTTATTATGATAATCTGATTGTTTGTTTTGGGGCATCACTATCCCAAATAGCCGTTTTTATATGCCTTTATTTTGTTCTTTTGTTGTCATCTGTAATTTAATTTTTATCCAAATAAATGATATTCATTTCATCCTATCTATGTCCCGTGTGCAATACTTGCCTTTCCCTTTTTATGCTTTGCCATGAATAGAAAAAATGCATAATTCACATCTTGTATTTTGAAATTAGGATAATGATTAATAATGGGGTAATATCATAAGAGATTATGTATTACTTTGAGAGAGTTGAAAAGGACAAAAGCCAAAGATGATAAAGTCATTGATTTTAAAATTCCCCTTGGGACTAAGATAAGTACTTATCCTAACTAATGAAAAATGGATAGTAATATCCTTGTGAGAAGTACACAGAAATGAGAATACAGAAGGAAGTCATGGGAACTTTAGTACCACAATTGAAGTTTCATGCATTTATATCATAGATAGGACATACACTTGCATCATTGCATTATTATCACTTATTTTTTATCTGATCGATCCAGATCATCTTTTTGACTCATAATTCAATCCCGATCACTTATTTTGATCTCGACTCAGTCCAAATTATCTTTTTAACTCACGGTTCAATCTCGGTCACTAATTTTAATCTCGCTCAATCCAGATCATTTTTTTGACTTATGGTTCGATCTCAATCATTCATCTTCGACCTAAACACAGTCCAAGTCAAATCATTTTTTGGACCCATGGTTTAATTTTTGATCATTTGTTCTTATCTCGGCTCGACCTAAAGCATTTTTTTGACTTACGATTTAATCCTGGTCACTCCTTCCGATCTTGGTTCGATCCAAATCATTTTTTTAATCGACGTTTCAATCTTGGTCACTTATTTTATTCTCAGTTTGGCTCAAATTATTTAAATTATTAGACTTGCAGCTCCGTCTTGATCATTTTCATTATTTTTGCTTACTGATTTGACTTTCGCTTTATCGGCCCTGACGGAATTGATGTCTAGGTCTTTGTATCTTCTTTGTTTAATAGGGATGTGTAAAGAGAAGCAACTATAGACACCCATATGTATCCAATCAACTATTTATTATTATTATTATTATTATTTCCTTTTTCTTAATTTGTGTTGAACAAGGAAATCAATTTGCATAATTAACTAGTCATTTATTTTGATCTTAGTTAGGCTCAGATTATTTAAATTATCAGACTTGTAGCTCAATCTTTGTCATTTTTGTTATTTTTGCTTACTAATTTGACTTTCGCTTTATGGGCCTAAATAGAATGTATGTCTAAGTCTTTACATCTTCTCAGTTTAATAAAGAGGTGTAAAAAGGAGCAACTATAGACACCTATATATATCCAATCAACTATTTTATTATTATTATTATTATTATTATTATTATTATTATTATTATTATTCCTTTCTTTTTCTTATTCTGTGTTGAAACAAGAAAATCAATTTGCATAATTAACGGATCTTTAATTTAGAATCGAATTAAAGGGCATTTCAATTAGACAAATTTGCAATACCTAGGCCTAAAATCACGTTGGATAAAATCCAATCCGAAGATTCAAGCCTAAATTGGTTCTGTTCGAGCCCTAAAATCTCTTCTAAGTTAGACTATAAATTGAACACATGGTCATAAAAAAAGGCAAAGTTTGGAGGGAGGAAATATTTTTGGGTTTCGAATTTCTGGATTTAAAGATTTTAGGTTTGAAGTTTCTAGGTTTGAAATTTCTATGTTTAAGTTTGAATTTCTAGGTTTGGAGTTGAATTTCTAAAAAATTTTTCAAAAATTTAGAAAAAATCTGGGCTTGGGTTTGAATGCTTGAAATTTTCGATTGAATTTTTCAGCAGAGTTTGAATTTTTTGATCAGATTTCGATAACGTTTTTTAGAAACTGATGAGTTACCCAGTTTTCGATGACTAGTTTGCAGTCAGAGGAAATTTTGGCTAGAGAGAAAAAAGAGTAAGGCTATCTAAGGAAAAACCAATCCTTTATCCTTTTATAAGGCCCCAATACGACGTCATTTCTAAAAACCCATGATCTGTGTGAACCTACTTAAGATCCGCGTCGCCCATAGAATAACTCGATTCAATCGCAGGTTTTTTTTTATTTTCATTTTTTTATATTTTTTTATTTTCATTTTTAAGCTTTTTCTTATTTTATTTTTATTTTTATTTTATTTATCATTATTGTTTTACTAATTTTAAATTGAAAAATTTTTTAGTTTTTAAATATTTTTGTAAAATTCCTTTTTATTTTTTATTTCTGAAAAAAAAAACTCTTTTCAAACAAATTCATTAATCCTACCAAACTATTAGAGGATTTTTCATGAATTTAAATTTTTATAAATTCTACCAAACTATTGGAGAATTTCATAAATTAAGTAATTAATAAAATACTTTGTATTTTATCCTAACAAACTATTGGAGTATTGCATATTAAGTTAAATTTTACCAAACTATTAGAAGATTTAATGAATTTTCTCAAAATTAAAATTTTATAAATATTTTACGACAAAATCTCACCAAACTATTGAGAGATCTGCATCAAAGTAAACCTTGTCAAACTATTGGAAGACTTTACTAATTATTTTCTTAAGAAAAATACATTAATAAATCCGACAAAGAAGACTTTTCAAGGTGGGACACTATTCTCCATGAATACTTTTAAGGTGAAAAAATTATCTTAAATTATCACTAAACATTAGAGTAATCTTAAGATCAATTTTCAATAGTAAATATTTTGGTAAATTATAAACATATCTAAGGTTTAGATAATTTGAAATCAAACGGGTATCATCCTTTGGATATGCGATGTGAGGGTGCTATAACTTTTTTTACGTGTAATTGTACTTCTGAATCTGAAATCTAATTTTGTGAATTAAAAGATACTATTTAAATATATCTAAGTTAATTTTGAGACTCCTCTTTAAATATGATAAATTTAATCAGGTGATCAATCACACTCAAATAAAAAAGATTTGTGGTAACTTTATCAATTCATATCTAGTGGTAGATCTATGAATCTATTCGTTATGACACTTACAATTATAAGTATTAAATATATGTATAATAAAACAAATAAATTAAGCATGTAATATTATTTTGACATGCAACAATTTAAAAAAATACATGAAAGATATAATATAAAAAAGGTTGGTTGAAAAAAAAAATGATTACAATTGAATATTTGTCAATTCACTTTTAATTATTATAATATTCATATATATTTTAAGCTTAAATCTATATGTTTATAAAAATATAGGGATGACAAACATATTTAAAATCATATATAATAAGTAAACCCAAGTTAAAAAGTTGTGAGGTTTAAATATAAATAATTTTTTTTTACGATATAATTAATAGATATATAAAATAAAAAATAATATATATAAATGTAATAAATTTTGACGGATAGTTTTTTAGTTATTTAATAGTGGGTTGTCCATTTTTTAAATTGATGAATTTGTGTTGAATCATACTCATAACTAAAAGATCTGAATAGAATTTAACCAAAAATTAAATTAAATAATTTTTTTTCTTTTCTATTTTTTGTATTTCACTCATATTCTTCTAAAAATTCTATTGATTGTAATTCAAAAATTAATTGATTAAATTTTGGAGCGTGAAGAGTTTAATTGAATCGAAATAAAATATTAAAAGTTTGATTGATTATAAAAAAAATATTAAAAACAAATGATTATTAAATTATAATTTAAGAATATTTTGCAGCCTTTATTAATAAACTCATTTTTTTTTCTGATGTTAGCATGAAACTTGCTTCTTTTTTTTTTTCTTTTAAGTTTCAATTGATGCAATTAAATTTGTTTTACAAAAAATAAGTTGCAATATCAGGATAGAGAAAGAGATTGTAGGCATTGCAATTTGAACTTTAGATTTATTAGATATTATCTTTTAAGAATAATCATATAAACTAATTAATTTAAATTCCAAATTTGATACTCAATTAAATTAAATTCATAATTGTAATTAAGGCAATGATTTGATACATGCCAGATTTAAATTTGTGTAAAGTTCGATTTTTTTTTCTTCATTATAAAAAGGAAAATGAATGTGATGCTATACATGCTAGATTTAGATTAGTGTAAAGTTCGAATTTCTTTTCTTCATTATAAAAAGGAATTTTTATAAAATGAATGTGATGCTTATATGTCATGAAGTGAGAAGACAATTTTCTACAGTTGGAAACTTGGAATGTTCGAATCAACAATCAAATTGAGAAAGAAAGGAAGAAAAATGTAACTAATCCATTCTTGTAACATATGAGGATGGATCCTTGAAGTAGCAAGATTTAAGACTAAAGATTTAAATCAAGAAAACGAACCAGAGCCTGGGGATGGGGCCATAGACCGCCCCTTTTTAAGTTTTTAGGCCACTTGCTTGTTCATGGCAGAAGTGTATCTATGTGCTAAGCGTCAAAAACTGATACAATTATTATTCTGTTTTCTAGTAGGTCGAGTAGGTACAAATGCCATGTTTGGTCGTTGTCACAGATATTGTCGACAAACATCCAAAGTTTGTTAATGATAGGTTTCAGCAATAGCAGAGTAGTAAGAAAATACTGGTGGTGATGACAATCCTCCCTTGACCTTTAATATAACAAAAGAGGATTTTAGTATATTTTTGCTACATCCTTGTTTTTTAATATTGGGGTTCTTGTTCAGGTTTAAGTACTTTTGGGGTGATGGAATTTCACGAGCTTTGATAACTATGGTTTACAGTGGAGATTAGAACCTGGAAAACCGTTTGGGCAATTGCGATGGTTCAAGTTCTGATGGGGCTCGGGCCGGATGATATTCCGGAAAAGGGTCAGGTTTGCTGTTGAAAGCCCCTGCCATAAATAACCCAAATTTAGAAAGACAAAAAGGCCGGCAAGATGAATCGCTGACCAAGTGGCCCTACAGAAGAACACAATGCACGTGACATGCTGATGTAACATTAATTATTTATCAATTATTATTATTATAATTATATATTTCCACTTCCGAAGCGCAGACGGTGCCCTATCATCTGTTCTGCTCCGACCTTTTTAGTTGTTCTGCAAATCAACTCCCTTTTTTTTTATTCTTGCAGGTTTCCATCACTTTCCTTAGAAAATAAAAAGAAATAAAAGTTTCCCTCATTACAAACAGAATGAAACCGACAGCCCCGATAACCAGTACTACAACCGCCACGGCAGCTTCAACGACAACGATTGATATCCTTAAAACCCCAAAGTTCGTTAAATATACGGCCATTGCCGTCCTATCTGTTTCCCTCGTTTTCCTTGCCACTCACTTCTCCTCCTCTTCCTCCTCTTCTTTCTCTTCCTTCTCCTTCAATTACTCCTCACTACTATCGCAATTGTCGCCTCCGCTTTCACCTCCTCCACCGCCACCTCTACCACCTCCTCCTCCTCCTCCACCGCCTCCCCCGGCGGTGCGAAGAACGGGGATAATCGATGAAACGGGAGCAATGTCGGATGAATTCTTTGTCAGATAGTCAGACTCGAACTCCACGAATGCTTTTACAGAGTTCGGTGATGGCAACGAGGAAGGAATAGAGGAAGAAAAGGAAAATAAGAATAAGAATGATGGTGAAGGTAGGGTTACGATTGAGAAATTTAAGGTATGTGAGGAGAGTAAAGTTGACTATATACCTTGTTTAGATAATGAGGAAGCAATTACGCTGTTCAATGAGAGTGAAAAGGGGGAAAAATATGAGAGGCATTGTCCTGGAAAAGATAAAATGTTGGGTTGTGTGATTCCTAGGCCGGAAGGGTACCGGAGGCCTATACTGTGGCCTCAGAGTCGTGATGAGGTAAGTTTTTGCCTGAAAAGTATTTGACTTTATTTATTTACCACTTGTTTAAAATTAGATTCTAGGCTCTGTAGTAAGAAAATTTGATGATTTTAACAAGGTGTAGATGGAAGTTTGATTGGGGCTTGGTTTCAGGTTTTGGGGTGTGAAGGTTGTTGTTGTCTTGTTGATAGGTGGTAGCTAAGAAGTTAAATGTCAAATGCGTGCCCCAAGGGTTGGGGTTGAACCAGGTAGAGAAGAGGGGTTTAGTGAACTTGGTCAAGTGACTAAGGTTTGAGAGAGGAAATTTTCATGGACAGTATGTTTATGAAGCTGGTTTTTTTTTTTATTTTTTAAGTTTAGTGGAGTTTAGTAGCATAAAGTAGTAGTAGTCTTGGTACAAAATTATTAGGAGATTCTATTTTAATACTACCATTGGCTGGGTGATAACATCTCTCAGATGCATTAAGATTACCGCTGAAGTTGTCTAAGAATAATTCTAGTTGTCATATTTTCCTCAATGAGATGCAGTGCAGATTGATTTGGTGTGATGGGGAGCTTTGAGAGTATTAAAAGGATAATCGTCTTTGATTTATCTAAAACTTTTGAAATAGAAATAATGTAACTACTATTCTGATGAAAGATGATGGCTACAACACAATGAAATTGGTAGAGAAGGATCAGCTTAGACCTTCAAGCAAACATCTCTACTATCTGAATTGATTTCATGATTGATACTTTAATAGTGGTTGAATTCATCAAATATGTATCCGTTGATTTCTTAATTATTATGCAAGTAATTTTCCTTCAACTGAGTTCTTTTGTCTGTTGGGGATATATCTTGACTTTGACCTGGAGGTGCACTTTGATTTGTAACTTTGTTATTGTCCCTTTACCCAGAACAGAGACATTATGATATTTTAATATCCCTCTTCTAAGAATTTATAGTTTTAAAGTCTTATTTTTTGTATTTGCTCTCTGCCTATCTAGTTATCATTGCTGCTTCTATTATGAATGCAGTTGGATACTAAAACCTTATTTGGTGCTATATCTCAAAATAACTATTTTAACTTGTCAAAATTTCATTAAAGGTTTCTTTTGGCTAATTGTGAGTTATAATTGCAGGTTTGGTTCAGCAATGTACCACATACTCGTTTGGTTCAAGATAAAGGTGGGCAAAATTGGATATCAATAAAAAAAGATAAGTTCATTTTTCCAGGAGGTGGAACACAATTTATTCATGGTGCTGATCAATATTTGAATCAGATTTCACAGGTTGTCTGCTTTCACAACCCCTGCCTGGTAGTAGTACTTGTTTTTGGCATGGGATTGATAACCATTGCTTTGCGTGCAGATGGTTCCTGAAATTTCTTTTGGCCACCATATCCGTGTTGCGTTAGATATTGGTTGTGGAGTTGCCAGCTTTGGTGCCTTTCTTCTAAAACGCAATGTCACCACACTATCAATAGCACCGAAAGATGTTCATGAAAGCCAAATTCAATTTGCACTAGAACGTGGAGTGCCTGCCATGGTTGCGGGATTTGCTACACATCGCTTGTTGTATCCAAGTCAGGCTTTTGACTTGATACATTGTTCAAGATGTAGAATTAATTGGACTCGTGAAGGTACGCTTCTTTTTCTTTTACATATCCAATAAACAAATATTACATCTTCAAATATTTGAGAACTATTGGTATCAGATCAAGATTCAGTTCTCTATAATTGACTATTAAAACCTGATAATGAACTTTTAATTCTTTCAACAGCATTCTGATGTGGTTATTTGAGCCTATCTAAATCTTTCAATGGTTAGAATTGCATGCGTGCAGGTGTGTACCCGTACGTGCTCATGTGTGTGTTTGCATGCTTAGTAGGTTGAGTTATTAATTTTATCTATATGTATGTACATTTATGCTGCATGCTTACCTTAGCTCTTTGATCTTGATGCTTCTTTCTATTTTTGCCTATGATGAAGATGGAATTTTGCTTCTCGAGGCCAACAGGATGCTTAGGGCTGGAGGATTTTTTGTATGGGCGGCGCAGCCCGTATATAAACATGAAGAGATTCTACAAGAGCAATGGAAAGGTAGCTGTAGCCCCCCCATGTCATGTTTTTTACGGCCCTCACTTTCACTCTTTCTCTTTTTTTATTTTTTATTTTTTATGGTGCTTGATATCCTGATACAGTGTTTTAGATGTTTTGACTACTTTGCATGGCTTAATCCATTAAAAAAAAAAAAAATTTCAATTGCATGTATAAGACCTTGATCAGCTATGCCCTTCCTTCCACCATTATTGTCCTTCATTGTGTTCAAAATTAAGATTGATACCTTGCAATTGCTCAGATTCATTTGTAAGCTGATTTATCTACAGAAATGGATGATCTTACTACTCGCATTTGCTTGGAACTAATAAAGAAGGAGGGATATATTGCCATATGGCGGAAGCCTTTAAACAATAGCTGCTATCTTAATCGCGATATCGGAGTGCTACCTCCACTCTGTGATCGTGATGATAATTCAGACAATGTTTGGTATGTCTTGCTTCAATACATACAATAAAAATCTTACGTGAACGATTTCAATGTATTTGGCAGTGAACCAATGTTTGGGAGTCACTATTCCACAATATTCTGTTAAAATGCTTTTCAGATCATGGCCCTGGAGTAGGGACGCACAGATAGTTTGATGTTTAGACTTTTGAAACCACCTTTACCTTAAAAAATCTTTGTGTGTTTTCTTTTACTTGGTGCGCTAAAAACCTGTAGCTTAATGTTTTTAATGAATTGTTGTCAAACATGTACCTGAAGTTTGTGCTTCAGAGAATAGAAAATATTTAACTTCTGTAGCCATTTACATTTTTACAAACCAGGAAGGAGACCTTCAAAAGTTAATCCAAGTGCTTAGACCAATCTCTTTCATTTTCATATAAATAGTTAAACCCAATAAATAAAGTACAACAAAGGATAGCGTAGAAGGAGAATTGAGAGATCCCTGTTTAAGACTTGGCAATTTAAAAATTGAGAGTGGGGAGGGTTTGTTTTTTTTTTTGGGTGGGGGGGGGGGGGTTAGGAGAATTCACACCATTAGTTTGCTTAAGTCTCTAACAATTAAGTAAATAAAGATGCCGAAAGAGAAAAGCCATAGTCCCTGACAACCTTGAATGATATTCTTTTAGGGAGTATTTATAGCTGGGTGCCTTCTTGTCTCCATTTTTTTTGCATATATTCTCTGCTCCTTTAAACTTTGTTATGGCAGAAAAGCTTATGAAACTAAGCCAAAGTTAAACAGCTCATAACAAGTTGCAGTGTAATGATGTTTGCAGGGATGTTGATTTGAGGGCCTGCATCACTCAATTGCCAGTGAATGGCTATGGCTCTAATGTTAGCTTATGGCCTGTACGTCTTCGTTATCCACCTGACAGGCTCCAAAGCATAGAAATGGATGCCTACATATCCAGAAAGGAAATCTTTAGAGCAGAGTCAAAATACTGGAACGAGATAATAGACAGTTATGTACGTGCATTTCGCTGGAAAGATATGAAACTACGTAATGTGATGGACATGAGAGCTGGACTTGGAGGGTAACATCTTATGTACCATGCTACTGCATAGATTTTTCTGATATTAGAATGCTTTTTGTTTTGATAAGAATGGAAGAAATATATTGCATTATTTTGTAATTTTTGGTTGGGAAAGTAAGAGGAACTGCCACCACGTTTATATCAGAGTAATAATACTTGCACACTTTCACAATTGCTAATTTTGTCAAGGTTTGCACAGTCTCCCATTGGGGCGTTTATAGTTGTTCACTTATGACTGATGGTTTCTGAATGCTGTCAATTTCATCTGCAGAACTTCCACATGATTTTATCTTACTCTTGCATTAGATTTACTTTTTATTCTCAACCTTTTTTGCTCAGGTGTGAGCCATTTGATACTTATCCAAGAACATATGACCTATTGCATGCAGCAGGTCTTTTCTCTGTTGAGAAGAAGAGGTATTATTCATCCTTTTTCCTGCTTGTGCCCTAGCATTTGTTTAATAATGAACATTCTTCAGGTACAGGTTGCCATGTTCCTTATCTGGTCGATGCAGGTGTAATATGTCAACCATCATGCTTGAGATGGATCGTATGCTGAGACCTGGTGGACTTGTATATATACGGGACTTGGTATCTGTTATGGGTGAGCTTCAAGAAATAGCAACTGCAATGGGATGGGTGCCTGCACTACACGAAACAGGTGAAGGTCCACATGCAAGCTGGAAAATTTTAATCTCTGAGAAACGCATGTAATGTGCTTATTGGATGAATATCAGTGAAAACAAGTTTTACCATACCAGTGTATCTTGCCCACCTTTTAGATATATGAAATCTCCCATAAAAGAAGCTGCAACTCAGTCTACATAATTCTGTGTAATCTTTTGTTTTATTTTAGTACCTAGGACATTGATAGGATGATACTGCTTTTGGATAGAACCTGTGTAGAAGAATTTTTTTACCCCTTCTGCATTCTAAATGCGATTTGTACATTACAAAATTTGCCATTGAGTAAATCTGTGTTGAAATTGTCACTGCAACCTTTTATCTCCTTACTGGTCCTAATATTCCATGCACTCCCTCTCTAGTCTCTGCCCTCCTCTTTGGTTCTTGTTCCCCTTTCTAACACCATTTCCAGGCCAACTCAGAGAGTAACTTAGGTTTTGGACGATTTGTTTGGCGATTAAAGTTTTTATAATTTGCTTGTGAGGCAATGGATACATTGAGATTTACATGGCATTTGATGATCTAAATCCATGATTTTAAGTTTGACTTATTAATTTCGTTTCGGTAACGATCATATTGTTAATACACTTTAGATATATCAAAACAAGATATGTTTAAAAATAATTTTTTATACCGAACTTGATATCAAGTAATATAGGTTATTTTTGTTGGTTTTAGTTAATTTTGATAAATTTGGATGGAATAATTTATTTAAGTCGGTATATGAATGTAAAATAAGTTTTATTATTTTTAATATTTGATTATTTTTAATTTAATAAAATAAAATAAATTAACAAAATAATCATTGAAAGTTGAATTTTTTTTTATTTTTTATTGTAACTTGTTTTTTTTTTTTTATATTTTATTTTTCAAATTAAATTTCATAAGTATTTCTTTCTCTTTTAAAAAAACAATTGTGTTCTCTCTTTAAAGTTTAACAATCATAAAATTAAGGTTATTTTTTTCTATCTCTTTATTTTTTTGACATTTATATAAAAAAATATTTATTTAAATATTATATGATCAAATTAAATGTTTAAAAATATCATGACAAATTGATAATATTATTTTTTATACTTTTAGATTTATTTATTTATTTATTAAAAATATTATATATTTATTTTATAAACTATTAATAATATTATTATATACAAATTCATATATATATATTTATAAATATATTAGTATTAAATCAAAAAAATCTGATATAATATGCGGAATCAATCGAAATTAGCATATACCATATTTTTTAAAAAATCAAAACATTGTGCGATACGACACCCTTGCATAAAATCCTTCTAACATCAACGAAGGCTACACTATAAAAGCATCTAAAAACCACTTCATTACTGTCATCTTAAAAATGATCCCAAATCATGATAACTTCCACAATTTAACCAAAACATTTTGTGGGTTAAAAGGAATAAAAGGCTCCATACTATGCATCCATTGTAATACAGATTTCTCCAACCAAAGATTATCGAACTTTTTTCCTTTCATATATACTAAAAGTTCATCCATTAACAATGACGAAAAACTCATTATCCAAATGATGAACAAAACAATCTTTGATCACAGTTGACTATGATTTCATTGAAACATCCTTATGAGCAGCAGTATTAACCTGTTTGGAGAGATAAGCTTCATAAATTTCCACAAGAAGTCGAGGATGCTTTTCCAAAAGTTCCATAAACTCTTCCCTTTTTGTAAGCTTATACATATTGTCTGTTATCAAACACAAAGCTGCATCAAGCAGGAGCTTGGCGCTGTGCTGGTGAGCAAAGGCATAGCTCATAAGTGAATTATCCCAGTTCAATTTGGATACCAGAAACTTTTAGCAAAATGCCTTGAGATGTTTGACCCGGTATTTTTCAGCCAAAACCAGAAGGTCACAAGCCATTTGCTCATCCAGCCATGCTTCCGCCGTGTACAAATAGTTTACAAAGGCACGGAGAGCATCGTATGATACATCACTGATCTTGATGGTTCCACTCCTGCTTTCTTCCATCTCATTCTCAAGCATTGCTTTGAACACTGGTGAACGATTCACCTGGTTTCACATCAAAACATAAATAGTTAAAAGAATGGAACAAATAATGCTCCCTGAAAACACATTTTCCAATTTGGGTATGTAGCAAGTGTGTTTTTTGAAGCAGCTTTCGATTTTAGCTACTATAAAATCTGAAAATGCGTTTCTGAAAGCTAAAAGCCAAAGTTCCATATCAAAGCTTCTGAAAAAGGAAAAAGGTAATGCAGAAATTAAAAATATTTCCACACGGAAACGAAATTCATGGTCGCAATTTTCTTTTTTTAACATCAGAAATTTCAAAACTTTTGCATTTTAGATAAGAAATTAAAGCAATTCAAGCAAACGGGTAGTACCAAAACGGCTTTATGGGCGGGTACAGGCACAGGCGGCAAGCCCGGAGACCCATCATCGGAAGCAACCAAAACGACGTCGGGAAAGAAGAGACCAGGCGAGAAGGAGTCACGGTGGGTGTGATCGAGCGGAGACCAAAATCGTAAAAAGGCAACTTTGGATATGAGATCTTCGATCTCTCGCTTCAGCTCTTCCTCGGTCTCGCTTGCCTCCTCGTAGCACTCTTTACACGTGCCGGCGTCACGTGATCCGTACTCTTCCTTGCACGATAAGCACCTCATGGTCTCGGTGTCGCTCTCGCTCTCCGTCTCGTAGTCGGATCGGGTCGCCTGGTGGCACCGGTGCCTTCGCATTTTTCTTTTACCTTTAGGCCCAATTGGAAGAAAATGCAGCTATTGCTACCGGCTGGGTTTTGGTTCTAATATAAGGTTTTAGAATTTTTTTTATTTAGTTTTTTTTTTCTTTTTCCATTCGGCGAATTTGTTTTTCTTTTTTTATTATTATCTTTTGTTTTGAGTTAAGTTTTTATTTTTAATTTTTATTTAAAAAAGTAAAAATTAAATTAAAATTTATCAATGGAAAGGGGGACCTCTTTTTCAATAGTAATTTATATTTATAATTATTTAAATTTAAAAATTAATTTAATCAATTTCTAAAATCTTAAACATAAAAAATTTATATTATCAATTGGATTATGAATAATAGAATGTTAGGGTTTTAATTATTCCCTGATCTTCACATTTTCAAAATCCAATAAAAACCAATTAAATTTGGGTTTAAATTTTATTAAATAAAATTTTAAAAAATAAAAATCATACAAAAAAAAAGAAAAACATCGACAAGAGTAAAACTAATAAATTTATAGCATGTCAATTGCTTAAATGAGTTTAAATTTGGAACTGACAATTTGTTATATATATGTTTAGATTCATATTATTTGCATTTGAATTTTTTTAAAAAAAGTTGTAATCTAGGATTAAGAAAAAAATTATAAGTGTTGAAATTTAAACAATAAATTGATTATATTGATTAATTATTTAATTATTTGAAATTTAAATTATTTTAGATATCGATCACTTTAAATAAAATCAATTTTAAATCTATATTAAAGCATTTTCTAAAGCGATTAATTTTTCAATAATCTAAATTTACAATTTTGAGAACCCTTATGGGTGGGAATATTAATCATTTAGAAGTTTGGAGAGATAAGCCTCATAAATTTCCACAACAAGTAGGGGATCCTTTTCCACAAATTCCTTATACTCTTCCCTTTGGGTAAGCATATTCATGTTGTTTAATATTATACGCAAAGCTGATTCAAGCAGTAGCTTCGCATTGTTGTGGTGAGCGAAGGCATAGCGATTCAATGAATTCTCCCAATTCAATTTGGTTGATAGGAACTTCTCACAATAATCCTTGAGATGCTTCACCATGTATTTTTCAGCCAACACTAGAAGAGCGCAGCCCATATTCTCATCTACCAATGCTTCGGCTGTGTACATGTAGTTTACAAACGCTCTGACAGCATCATTTGATGCATCATTTATCTTAATGGTGCCAGTTTTGCTTTCTTTCATCTCGTTCTCAAACATTTCTTTAAACACCGGGGATCGATCCGCCTGTTTTTACACTAAGATAAGCATTCATAAAATTAAATTTAAAAGTAAATTTAAAAATAAACCTATCTCTTTTGTGATTTCAAATATTCTCATATATATATATATATATATATTAATAACTCCATAAAAAAAAAAAACTTCAAACTCAGCTATATCCAATTTTTTTCCCATGTAAGAAATTAAAAAGAAAAATGAAAGGAATTTAGTACCAAAATGGCCTTATGGGCATGAATGGGATCGGGAGGTGAGCCGGAAAAATCATCACTACAAGAAGTGACCAACATAACATCGGGGAAGAAAAGAGCGGGATGGGTGGAGTCATGGTGGGCGTCATCATCATTGGGCGGATACCAAAAGCTCAAGAAGGCGACTTTGGCCTTGAGATCATTGATCTCCCGATTATGCTGGTTCATGATTCTCACGTAGCAGTTTTCGCAAATGCATCTTTCACGTTCACGCCTCCTGCATAACATGCAGCTGAACACCATGTTGGTCTCGTCATAAGGCCGTCCCCACATTTTAAGGGAAGAAAATCGTGTTGTAATTAACCTGACATAGCCTAGTTTTTATAGTTTAGGATAGAAGGTTTTTAGGAATTTTCTTTTTCCTCACTTTTGGGAGATTCTATAATGAATAAGGACGTTTTTAGGTTTATTTCTCTTTCTCTCCTTTTTTTCTCAAAGGGATTCTATTACGAGTTTAGCAAGCTACGTAATTGAGGTAAAACAACCTCTTTGCATGTTGTATAGGAGTTTACAAAGAAAACACAAATGAACTTTTCTAACTTTTTCAAAAAGATTTCAGGTCTTCGACACAATCAAACAACTATTGTTATTCTTTTTAGAGTATCGAATACATCTCTCCTTTTAGTTTTCGCCTTCTTTTATCAAGTTCAAATTGATGAAAATATTTGGTTTTTAAAATATATATACATCTATATTATTAAATTTTTAGTCATTATATACATGGATAATTTTAAAACTTTTGTGTTATATCAGGAATTTGGGATGGTTCTTCTTAATTTTTGTCATACTACCCTATAAATTGATTTGTCTTAACCATTCACATAAAATTTTCTTTTACGTAGCTTTAACACCTTTGCTTATTGGCTTACAATATTTTTTTTTATCACCAAAGTTAGATTAGGATCACTTTATAAAAATTGAAAAAACAGTTAAAGTTTCATTTTCATTGAATTTGGAGTTTAATCTAAGTGATTCACCTACTTTTCTCCTAGGTGGAATCTGTAATATTGACGATGGCAATTTTCCTTCTCATATTCCTTAGGTTTCGACCTTTTTTTTTTTTTTTAACAAAAAGATTTTAATTTCATTCTTTGAAAGATATATTTAATTTTTCTTGTTTTGATTAAAAATATATTGATTAAATTTAACAATTGATTTATATATATAGTTTTAAATTATTTATTTGATGTATTTTGCTTCTTTATACTTTTTATATTTTTAAATTGATAAAACGTATAATTATGTATGAGCTTGTTATTTTTTATTGATATATTGCTTGTATATATCTTTAATATTAAATAAATATAAAGAAATGCCTCAAATAAAAATTATAATTTTAATTATCCTTTAAAATTAAATATGAAAATCTGCTACTAACACGTTAAGTGTTAAAGTATTTATTTAATAAGAACTTGGTTTATATAATCACCTTTAAAAATGTGAAATTCAATAAATTTAACATTTAAATCTTAACACTTGTAATCAGTAATAAAGTTCAAAATTTTACCTAAAGGAAGCTTAATCTGAATATACTAAATTATAAAAAGCAACAATAAAAATAATAATGATAATAGTAATAAAAAATCAAAACTTCTATATCTAGATATAATTATTAAAAATTTTACGATTATTTTTGAAGTAATTTCATATTTTGAAAGTCTTCAAAATATTTATTATTGAAAATGTCTCAACAACAAATTAGCTAAGTAGTAAAAATTTTTAAACTTTATCTAAGACACACAATTTTACATTTTTTTTTTATTTGAATTGAGCTCAAGCCCCCATTGAGCTTAAAAGGCTTTGCCCCTAAACTCTTTACATATTTTTAAGTTACAACCTCCTATCATATATACAAAAAAAAATATTTGTGTAATGAATAATAATAACAATAATATATTAATATTAATATTAATAATAATATTATTATTAAAACTATCATCAAATGAATCTGATCTATATAAGTTTTTTTTTTTTTCAATTTTTAATTCATCAGCACTAGTTCAAATTAATCAGGATTTTTAAATATTTTGCATTTAAGAATATTGAAATGTAATATAGCAAAACAACCAACTACATCAAATGCATATTTACTAAAATGATGAGTGTAAAAGCACATTGTAAAAGTGAAATAAAAGGCAAATAATAATAATAATAAGAAATGGTTGGTATCCTTTAAAAAAAATGGTTGGCACCAATTAGGGTTATATTTAAATTAAATTACTCAAACTTATTTGAATCTAATTCTTTCAGTCATTCAAATGTTCAATTTAATTGAAATCAATTTTGATTAATTTGAATAGCAATTAGAATACTTAACTTTTAATTAATATTGAACTTAAAAGCTTATGATTGTAATCACATACTAAAATTTTTAATCATTTTAAACATATATTTTTTGGATAAATATTTTAAATTATTACTTACAAAATTTACACAAAAGAATATAATTTAATCAATCAGTGTATGTGTATGACCAAATCCTATATATATATATATATATATATATTGAAGAGTATGAGCCTTAAAAAGAGCATTTTGATGTGAAAATTTATTCGAGATCAATAATATATTGTTCATAAATTGTATCCAACATGTATATGCCTCTAATTAGTTTCAATAAAACAGCTTTTAAAGTTGTTTATTATTTATATAATGAAGGTACGGATGTAGAGATTTTTTTGTTTTGACGAAAATAAGACATTGTTATTTATTATATTTTTAATTAATTTGTCATTTGATATTTAAATTAATTACTAAAAATTAAAATTTACCAAAGTTAATTCATTGAAAAACCTATCAATTTGGGTTTTCCCTATTGGCTAGAAAGCTAGGTTGAGATTCGAACAGGCCGACCACAAATTGACTGGAATTTGACCCTTTCTGGATTTTTTTCGGCCGAGCCAGTCTTTCTAAATCTGGATTTAGGCAACTCTTTTTGCCCATAAAAAGGCCGCCACCTGTCAGTTCCTCCCACTATTAACCGGAATCATCCCGTCTCAGATCCGACCCAACTCAACAAACTGAACTACAAAAGTAAAACAAGTAAACTTGAAACTCTTCCGTAGTCATTTATTTTCAAATTTTGTTTTTTTTTTTCTCAAAAAACACGGATAAGACGAGAAGTTGCAGAGCAAAGCCAAAGTTAGTTTCTCACGAAAATAACAGTAAAAGATTTTGTTTTCAAATTTTTAGGGTTTAAATTTCAGGTCTCAAATCTTCAACTCAGGTAAAGCTTCTTTATTCTTCCTCGTCGTCTTCTTTCCTTTTTTTTTTTTTTTTTTCAGAATTTGTTCTTGTTTTTGTTATTTGCTGCTTGGTACTCGAGAAAATGTAGGGAGGGGAACAAGAGAAAACAACGAAGTTGTTTAAAGATTTGCACTTCTTATTTTTAACCTTCAAATGATTTAAAATTTAGTAAATAGTGAAGTTCAGGTCAATTACTTTGCTTAATTTGGTTGAATTTTTTGTGTTCCTCATTTTTCCTGGAGCTAAAGAATTGGGGAGGGTTTATTTAGAGTTCTATTTTCTTTTCGGCTTTTCCTTTGGTTTCTCGGCTGCCTAATGGAGGGTTTTTGGCTTGGATTTTTCGTTTAATCCGATGATTTTTAAAATGTTTTTGTGATAATTTTATGTGAATTTGGAAGATAATACTGGTTTATTACAGCGAATGTGAAATCCTAACTCTTTGGTGAAAGGCTTGGAAAACTAGGGTTTTTCTGTTTCGTGAATGGTGGAAATGGTTGTTGAGGAGGGGACAAGCAATGGTGAAGGAGCAGAGTGTGAGGAGGAGATTCAGTGCATCAAGAGTGAACCAGTGAGTAATGGGTTTGGATTTGAATTTGTGAATGATTCTGGTGATGGGAGTTCAGGGGCAAATGAGAGTTATCGAACATATAAGAGGCGGAGAACAAGTTCAAAGATTAAAATGCAAGATGGTGGGAGAGCTTCTACTGACCAGGTAGATTTCGATAAATGTGTCTAAATATGCACGCTTGTAGTTGTAAATGTTAACTATCTTTCTTTGTTGTACTAGTTAAATGTTAAGATGGGCTTATTATGTTTCTCTTCATCAATTCATGTTGCAAGATTTTTTTCGCTTTGAGTTAAAGAGTTTACTTGTTGTAGCTTTTGATTGTGGATAAAATATATTAACTTGTTTGCAATGAGATGGAAAGTGCTGCTTGAAGACTATCCTATGATTATGAGGAGAAGGTCTGACTGGGTCGTTGGGTACATAAAATACAATTTCGAGCTATTGTGTTGAGGTTAAAACTAGCGTGCGTAATATGATTTAAATATGCTTGTTTTTAATCTAGGAGTTTACAACAATGGATAGTTCTTACTTGTTGATGGTATTTGGATTTTGGAAAGTTGTGTTTTTTGTGGTGGCTTTGTTCATTGGATGAAGGTGATTCTTTTTTAAATCTTTTTTTTTTAACAATGCAAGTGTTAGAAACTGCTTGCAAGAGAAATTGATTCTACAAATATTCTTAAAAGTTGGCCTTGGCCTCGGGTATAGTTCTTTAATGATTCAGGAATATGTGTATCTCACTAGAAGTTGTAAAGGTTTCAGCATCAGAAATGAATATGTTAAATTCTTCTCTTATGGTCACATTGGGAGTGTATTTCTTTCATATCTGTCAGATGAACTGGAGCTGATGTATTTGAGAATTTTAATCCTGTATCACAAGGATAGTCTTTTTGACAAGTTTCATGCTTTTATTACTTATTTATCCCATTTGTTTTATGAAAAAAAAAAAGTTCTCTTCAGCATGATCAAATTCCTACATTATGATTGTTACCCCCTTTAGGTAATGAATGGATAATGATTTAGTGAACCAAGATATGTAGTGTATGCCAGCCTGCTGAAGAACACATGGATGATGCAAAATGGAAAGGTTTCTAATTATCTAAAGCAAGATTTGATAATTTTTGCACCACACTATGGTACACAACATGCATATTTTCATCTGTTCTTTAGCAATGCAATTGATACTGTGAATGGGTTTTTTTAATTACATTTGATGTTATTTTATTGATTTTTGGTTGCTATATGGCATTTTGAGTAATCAACAATATTTTAAATTTGTATCATATGTGCGGTTGAAATTTTTCATCTGTACGTGGCTTGTGACTGACTCATTCTGGAAAAATCCTTTTATATAGGGATCCTAGATCTTGTGATTGTGAAGCTGGGATTTCCTTCATTAGGGTTAGTGTGAGGTTTAGTGAGGGAATTCTTGATTGTAAGGACAGGATGGACAGATGTTGTTTGAACTTAAGATTTTATTTTATTTTTGTTATATTTTACGGGGCTAACTGTTGTCATCTCAAGTTCTTTTGCACATTCAATGTTAGGGGCCTGGTATGGTTAATTGATTTGTATTTCATTTATGAAAGATATTTAGTTCTATGATTCATCTGGTTCAGCTAATGAAAGGTGTACTTACTCTTTCTCTTTGTGAAATATTTGTTGTTATATGATTTGTCTAATTGAATTGGTGAAAGATGCACGTTTGTCCTTTTACTGTGAGTTCCATATGTGCTGACATGTTCTTGTCTTTGTTGTTCTTTTATCCAAAGAACATTTGGTTTCTTACAGACTGTAGAAGTACTATTTTACATGCTAATGGATGCTAATTTTTGTGAGCAGGTTGCTCTTCCTGGGACATATCATTGTGCTTCTTTGAATGATTCAAATTATTGTCTACAGAGGAAGTGGAGAAATGTTGTATTGGAGCAAATGCATCAGTTATTAAGTGGTGATGAAGGTGGTATAAAGCATTGCATTCAAGATGCACTTTTATTTCATCGAGAAAATGGTTGTAATGTGACAGTTAAGGTTTGTGCTGTTATCTGAACACTACAAGGTCTATGATGTCTTGCGGTGATCTTTTATTTTTCCCTGTCCATTTCCTTTATGATATATCGGAAATGTTTATTTTCTGATTCTTCTACAGGATTTTGATGCTTCTCACGAAGATAGACAGAAATACTCTTCGCATGCAGGGCGAATTCCTAATGGAGCTAAGCATACCGCTGAGGGGATGGAGGGTGTTTTATCTAATGTGTCTTATAAGGAGTCAAATCCTCAGACTACCACTGAGATGTGTCAGCGTGTTTTCTTTGATGTTATAATTTCTGAAAAGTTTACATATCTGTGCAAGCTTCTGTCTGACAATTTCCAAGGGATCAAGCTTGACAGCCTTTTTCATGTAACTCTCATAAACTCAAGGATGAAAGACGGAGTTTATGAGCATTCACCTATGCTTTTCTCATCAGATATTCAGCAGGTAATTTATGTAACCATTTCCATTTGCATGCATGGCTTGAATAGAGTTGCTTAGTTTAAAGCTAAAGATGTTACATTGAGTGCTTAGTTTTTTCTGAGGACAAAGGTACTGATAGGTTAAATATCTCTTGCCATTTTTTTAGGTTTTTATTTTTTTTGCTTTAAAACAAGATTGAAGAGTTCAAATGTAGTTTATTTTCAATGAAAATGACTGTTGAAGTTTTAAAAAATGAACGAAAGGAACTTATAAGAGCGTTAGGGGGAGTACTAAGTTTACTCTTTGTCAACAGCTTTAATTTAGAGACATTCCCATCTTAGTCATGGTTAATTATGGTTTCCATATCCTATATTTCTTATGATCATAATGCGGAAACCACCTGAATTGAATCAACCTTCTTCCCAACTACCCTCTCTTCTCATTTTCGTTAAATTCTCTTTGATGCATAGAAGGGGCAGCCGTGTTTCTGAAAAAAAAAAAAAAACATTATTAAAATAAGAATGCTGTGGAAGAGGTGCAAACTCCAACCCCCCCCCCCCCCCCTTCCAACAACACAGTAGTTAGTGAGGGAAGGGTTGTTCTGGGGGGTGAGGAAGGTTGCAGAAGGGGAAAGAAATTAAGGAAATTGCCATGTTATTGAAAGTTGAAACAGAATTTCCCCTCTACCAAGATTTCTTATAATCTTCGAACGGTTAAAATTTTATATGCTCAATTTTTTGTTACATTTAGAGCTTTTATTTTGTTTGACTCTAGGCCCTAAGCTAGATGTTGTTAGATTCTATGATCACTGAATTTGTTTGGCTATGCAAAGGATATCCAACTAAAATATCTTGTTTTTGGTCAACTTCTGTGCTTGTTTTTTCTTACTATAGTATATTCTAGGAGTGAAGATGTATGCTTCATCTACCTCTCTTTATTTTAGATTGATGCGTACAAGCATATCATTACTGAGAGCATGGATGGATGTGGGACTTTAAATCAATTATTTTCTTCGTATTTGGCAAATATACAATTATATTGAATGATTTGAGAATCTGCTGTTTACCCATATAGGCTTTTACTAAATCTGTCCAGATTGAAATCTCAATGTACAGGACCTTTTGATTTTTTAAGGGTACTTTGTTACAATTGTACATGCATCGATAATATGCCCTTTTTTAACTTCAGATGAAAGCATAGCGATCAAGAGTATCTCACCACTGTTTTCCATAGAGTTTACCTGCAAGACTATTTTTTACAGAGGAGGACCAATGCCCCCTTAAACAACAGCAACTAAACTAATCTAGGATAACGTACACCCAGTATGCCTGTTAATAGAAAGAAACCTCAGCTCCTGAGGAATTTGGTGTATTTCAACTCCTCTTGGCTGTGTAAGACTTCCATTATTGAGCTAGTCTGCAATAAAATTTTTCTGTCTTGTAATATAGGAAAGTCTCCAGGAGTGGTCGGTGTTTAGGACATCTCTTTGATGGTTTTAATGATAGGGAAGAGTGAATGTTGAACTGGGGTGCCTTTCTTGATCATTAGAATGGAGCTCAAGAAGTCTTGATTTAATCTCCACTTGGTGCACAAGGCTTTTGAACCTGAGCTACCTCAGCTATAGTGGTTGATTTACCTTGACAATCATCATTTTCTGATTCTAGTCTCTCTGAGTGCTTTTCATTCCGACAACTTGAACCAATTGCTGTTGTGCGGTTAAAATTCTGCTTTTAGTTTCATTCATCTTACACTGCTGATGGTCATAAGGAGCTTAGCTGAAAATTAGACTCAATGAATTTCAATTCATGTTGATTGCTTAGAAGTTAGACGAGGAGGTCTTAATAAGAAGAATGCTTAAAGTTGTGTATTTATCTTTTTGAAAGAAAATTAAATTTTTGATTCCAGTTGTATGCATAAGGTCTAAATTCCTTATTAGAATTGATCTTTGATTATCAGGATTTTTTCTCTCTTGTTTCTAGTTGATTATGCTTGTGTGTACATGGTGTATTTGTTGAACATTCTCTCTTGTTTTGTTGAATATTACAAGATACTTGGTTTTCCATAATTTGTTGTTGAATGCAATAGACATGCACAAGCTACATTTAATCCTATTCTGCTAGGTTTAGGGCCATATTTTTTGAAACAATGGTAGATATTAAGTCCTCGTTCATCTCTTATGATACCCTTACTTTTCTTTCGTTCTTGTGCTTCTCTAGACCTTACTGGCACATCTCCAAAGAATCTATCTCGTTATACCTTACTGTTGATTCTTTCTTCCTCTATCAAATTATTCTTTTTGTTCCTGTGCTTCACTAGAATCAAATTGCACATCTGCAAACAGTCTATTTCGTTCTTAGGTGGTTCTCAAACTATCTTTATTTGATTTGTTTTGTACCATTAAGAATTGTGTATCTTGTTAGAAGAAACTCAAAGCAGTGGATTATAATATATTTTAATATACATGCTACATTACATGCAGATCCAGTTCTTTTTGTCATCTCTTATCATATAACATATATCTTAATGTAAATGACTCCTGTAGGTATGGAGAAAACTTCAAGAAATAGGAACTGAAATTGTATCCCTTGCAAAGAGCCTCTCAAACATATCAAGCACTTCCTACAGTGGACAAGTGAGTTAAAGATCATGCTCTGTGCTACTCGTCATTGGAATTTTTGAAATTTGCTTAAAAAATAAATTACGTTGATAATGAGTATCTTGTTATGATTTCCTTGTGATGCTTTTCTTCAACCTTTCAGGTCGGTTGTTCTTGTGGTGCTGTTGAAGAGGAGAAACATGAGGTAAACATTCATGAATTAGCTTGTAGTATGCATTGGCATGCTTGTATCAGCAAATGCATTACTGTATCTTCAGACTTCAGTTACTGGTGCATTCTAACTGTGTTAGGTAGTTAGTATCAAAAAAGAAAGAACTATATTAGGTAGTTTTGGGTGCATTTGGTGCTTCAGAGTTTGGATAAAGTTAATTTAGGATAAAACTTTTGAATTTCCACTGCTCTTATATTTTGACAGCTTTCAAAGGAAGTCCTGCATTGCTTAGAATTGATGGGTGTGTTTTAGGATTCTTAAATATAGAAATCTTTTTCTTCACTTTGGGACTTAAAAATTGTCAACTGGGGCCTCTATTACTCTGGTTTTTCTTCTTTAAACACTCTAATGGTGTGGGGAATTTAAGTAAACCTTACTGTTTTTCATGCTGGCTAGTTGGTTGCCTTCTATCCTGCATGTATTTATGATTTGGTGGGATCAGGCAGGTTTTGTGTTGGCACCTAGTAGTCGTGTTCTGTCCTGCTTTGCCATTTGTATTTAGTATTTGTAGAATATTTTTTATGGATATTTGAATTTAGCATGCATCTTGATTTTAAGGCAATACGCGGATTCTTACCTGAACTGTTTCTCTAGTTTTTCATTTGTATTACCTGCAAGTGATCTCTGTTTATACGTTAAGATTCTGCTTTAAAGGTTTAGTTCATACCTGAGAAATATTCTGAATTTTGTTCAATGAAATACAGTTCTGTACTCGAGAATCAGAATCTCTTGTTAAACCAGAGCCAACTGAAGCTTGTGGTTTGTATAAAGTTTGCACTTGCAGGCATTGTGGAGAGAAGGCAGATGGGAAGAATTGTTTAGTTTGTGATTCATGCGAGGAAATGTACCATGTTGCCTGTATTGAACCTGCTGTGAAGGAGATTCCTCCAAAAAGTTGGTATTGTTCCAGATGTAATGCTAATGGAATAGGATCTCCGCATGAAAACTGTGTGATATGTGAGAGATTGAATGCCTCCAGGACTCTCAACAATAATGTTGCGGATGAAAAGTATAATGCACATCGGGAAACATTCACTGAATTGGAAGAAAATTCAAACTGTAGTGTCTATAATGGGCTTCAGTTATCACCAGGGAACAAAAACTCGCATGTTTGTAAAAATTGTGGAAGTTATGTTAAAAAAGGTGAGAAGTTAAGGAGTTGCGAGCATCCCTACTGCCCCAATAAATATTATCATGTGAGGTGCCTGACAATGAAGCAGTTAAAATCATATTGTTCCCGCTGGTACTGCCCTTCCTGTCTGTGTAGAACTTGCCTTGTTGACAAAGATGATGATAAGATTGTTTTATGTGATGGCTGTGATGCTGCATACCACATTTATTGCATGAAACCACCACGAGCTACAATTCCAAGAGGGAAATGGTTTTGCAGAAAATGTGATGCTGGGATCCAGCGAATACGCAGAGCTAAAAGGGCCTATAAGAATCTGGAAAATAAGCTGAAAATGAAAGGCATAGGAGGTAAAATGGCATATGATAATCTGGAAATGAGTCCAAATCATAGAGACAAAGAGGAGTCGGATAAAAGTAGAGGTGGAGTGGACATGCTTCTAACTGCTGCTAGTACTCTACATTTTGAGGAGAAGTTGAATGCTATTCAGATGAAGAGTTAGAAATAGCCTGCACTTTGAGGACATTGCAAGATTCAGATTTCATGCTATAATGCCTTTGCTTTTTTTTTTTTAATGGTAACTCGGAGTGACAACTTATTTTCACTTCATTTTTTCGGCCGGGAAACATATATTTTGGTAGGTTGTAAACTTCATTAGGTTTTACTGGCATTTGGATACATAGGTACAAGCAAGACATGATTCTGAAGGCTGTATATTTTTTGTTTGGCACTGCCAAATGCATAACTTTCGTCTTGATCATGGGGACCGGAAGCTGTTAGATCTGTTTGATGAAAGTCATCCATTAACGGGGAATGTTGAAGCAATGTTAGTTTGTACTACGAGAATACATAGTTTAGAGGAGGTTTATCAGAAGCAATTGTTTCTCAGCAATGTTGTATGATGTGGAGAAAACTCTGACCAACAACCTGTGTTCTAGGGATGAAAAAAGTCGAGGATAATTTTCCTTTTGCTATTCTTTGGTGCATCATTTTTCCTTCCTCATGACAGGCTGAGTTGGCTGTATGCTGTTTCATTAATCTTTGTCCTTATTTTCTTACCCTGATCTATCTATTTTGTTAACAAGAAAAATCAATTGAAAGAGATTTTGGGTTTTGTTTTTTTGTAATGAATAATGTTGTAGTTTGAGGGTAAAAAAAGTTATTAATATTGAGATTTAAATTTTAAATATATTCAATATTTTTTTAAAAAAATAATTTCATGATTAAATTTTTAGTTCAAATTTGCAAGTTAGGTACCATTAACATTACTTTTAATAAATGTAATCCCCTCATTCGTAACTCTTTATCTCTCAACTCTAATTGAGTTTACAACCTTCTATAAGTGTAGTAATTATGACAGTTTCGGATGGCACAAAATTTGCATAACCGTACCTTATTTTCCATGAATTTAAGAACTTTAACATGGTCATTAACCCCGCCTAAAAGGATCAAAATCAGAAACTAATGGAGCGACCAACGCAATAGGTTAGCAGCAAATTCAACCCCACTTAGAGCATCAGGGTTCTTGGAAAGAGCTGTCATTGCTTATGGGGATTGCCCTTCCGTTGTGTACAATGACTCGATCTACACGTGGTCGCATATCCACTGTCGATCATTACAAGTCGCATCATCACTGTCGTCCATGGGGATCGCGACAGTTAACGTTGTATCTGTCGTGGCACCCAATGTCCCTGCCACGTATGAGCTTCATTTTGCTGTTCCCATGTGTGGGGCCATCCTCAATAAACATCAACATTCGCCTTTATGCTCGCACTGTCTCGATCATCCTTTGTCACAGTGAATCAAAGCTCGTCTTTGTGGACCATCAATTTGTTTCTCTTGTTCTTGAAGCTATAGCCTTGTTCCAATCAAATTCGGATGTCCCATTACTCGTCCTTACCAATAATAATTAGCTCTCCCCATCATCCACCGTTAATAATTTCAGTGACACCTACCAAAACATGGTGGAGAAAGGTGATCCTGATTTCAAGTGGGCCGGCCCAGAAAGTGAGTGGGACCCAATGGTATTGAACTACACGTCGGGCACCACATCATCACCAAAAGATGTTGTGCATTGCCACGGGAATATCCAGTAATACCATTAGTTCTCTATTGATTGGTCCCTCCCACATAATCCTGTATTTTTGTGGATCCTCCTGACGTTTCATGCCAATGGATGTTGTTACACGTGGGGCATGGCCACAGTAGGTGGGGCCAATGTTTGCCTTCTAAAATTTGATACATCTATAATCAATAACATAATAAAACGACACAATGTTACCCATATTTGTGGGCGCCCGTGGCTCTTAATATGATGGTATCGAATTCTCTAACAAATGACCATTTGGAGAGACCGGTCAATTCCTTGTAGCAGGGGTTCCAGTGCCAGCACGATTGCTGTTGCGGCCCGAGTCATTAGTTTTTAGAGTGAGTCACTGCTATGGGTTAACTGAAACAGCTGGGTTCGTCTTGTCGTGTGCATGGAAACCACAATGGAATCCGTTGGCTGCATCAGAGAGAGCCGGGTTAAGAGCTAGGCAAGGGGTGAGAACAATTGGGTTGATGGAAATGGATGTGGTGGATCATGAGGGAGAAACTAGTGTAAAAAAGGATGGTTTATCGCTCGGAGATATAGTGGTCAAAGGTGGGCCTCTAATGCTTGGTTACCTGAAGGACCTAATAGTTAGGTTCTGAATTTCATGTAAATATGATATTATATATATATATATATATGTAAATATTTAAATTTAAATTTATAAGATATTTTTTATAAAATAAAATCGTGAGATTTTTAGGTTAAAGTGAATAATATCTCGTAAGTTGGATGTGAATCTCTACAAATTGTATTGTAACGATCCTAATCTCACATTAAAAGAATGTGTAGATATAATATGATATAATATATATGTAGATATTTAAAGTCAAATATGTGAAATTCTTTTTGTGAAATAAAACTGTAAAATCTTCGAGTCAAAGCGGATAATGTTGAGTGTGAATCTCAACAAATGGTATAAGAACGATCATCAGTTGGCAAAAATTAAATGCTACATCGTGGGAGTTACCACTCGTAGGTTGAATGCAAGTCTCTACAAATAATATCAGAGTAGTTACCAATTTGTTCGTGAGAGTCACTAAGTACTACATGGTGAGGAGTCACCTCTAGAATTTTAATGTTTAGTGTGATCTTGATTTAGACTTGACTTACAGGGATGTCAAGTTTTAAAAGTTGAGAGATTGTAATACCTCTAATCTTACGTTGAAAGAATGTGATGATATGGTATAATATATATATATATATATATATATAGATCTAAATTCAAATATGTGAGGTATCTTTTTATAGGACAAAACTGTGAAACCTTCATATCAAAACGATTAATATCTCGCAGGTTAAGTGCAGATCTCCACAGCTACATCTTCATGCATGCCAGAGGATGGCTGATTTTATACAAGAAATGTTGCTGTTGTTAATCCTGATGGCTATTTAGAGTTTAAAGATGGTTCAAAAGATGTGGTTATTAGCAGGGGAGAGAACATAAGCAGTGCTAAAGTCGAGTTTGTTTTGTACTTGAATTCGGCTATTAAAGAGGTCACTGTAGTGGAGAGATCCGATGGGTTTTGAGGTGAGACGCCTTATGCTTTTGTAAGTTTAAAGGATGGTTTGACTAAAAAACCTATGGAAAAAGAGATAATAGACTTTTGCAGGGCCAATCTCCTATATTAGTTATATGGCACCTAAAACTGTGGTGTTCAAGAAGGAGCTTCCTAAGACATCAATTGGGAAAGTTAAAAAGTTTGTGCTCAGGGAAATTACCAAGGCTATAGGCTAGGATTGTTTTAAGCGCATGAGCTTCAAGTTGGACAACATAATCATAGTAACTAAGGCCAGAAAAAACTCTTGTAAGAATCATGGTTGTCTTCAAATATGCACAACTTAATACTATTAACCTTTATTTATTTATTTATTTTGCAAAAGAGATCCTAGTATGAGTGCAAGAATTAAAATTTGAATTTAAGAGTCATTATAAGTTGGTTGAGTTAAACTAAACTCTGGGTTTTCTTTATATTTCTCTTTTCTTGTCATTTAGTTTTTCTTAAAGATAATCGGAAGCTAACAAAGGGATGTTCTAACAATGTATACATGCTTTTGGGAGAATTTATCTGTAAATTGTGTCGTAGTTAAAATTTAACAAAGATTTCTAGGAATCATGAAATAACATCCCTTGCATAAGTTTTCACAAAGCCATAATAATTCTCAATTAAATACTAGCATGGGTAGTTCTCAAAACACCATTCCTCCTATCAGTAACAATTGCTGTTTGTGTAAAATCAGGAGGCCTCATTCTTATTAGCTAGCATATAACGATTTTAATCAATGTTCGGGCTTGATGAATGAAGCTGTTTCTTCTCTTTATAAGATGTAATGCAGTTTTCCTATCATCTTTGTTAGGAAAATGAGGTCCAGCCTCATGTAATTAGTTTTGGACCAATCAAAGGCCATGTGCCTTGGTCTTTCTTTTTATACAGAGCTCTAGATACTTAATAAAAAGAGGTGGAGCTGTTTTAAGGTGGTGTTGTAAAACCAAGAAAAGAAAAAAGAAAAGCCAAAAATATAGAGAGAAAAGGGAAAAAGGAGAGTTAGTTGAACGAAAGTTGATATGTGGTACGATTAAGCTGAAATTTTGTCAACAGGTTTATGATTCAGAGTTCTACATTCTGAATGGTGAAGATCGGATTTGAAGCTCTCTAAGAACAAATCTAATGTGTATTTGCTGAGTCACCTATTTGATGAAATTATCCAATTGTCTCTCTCTAGTTGTTGATTAGCTCTAGTTTTAGCTAGAAAAAAATTTTGCATATCCATTATTTGATAGTGGAGATTTTTTTAGTGGTTCATAGCTTTTTCCTCTACACTGGAGTGTTTTTCATCTAAATCTTAGTATGCTTTATTTTTTCTGTGTTGTTAATTGTTGCTTGTTGTCTATTACCATGGATTTATTGTGATATATTGTTTCTACGTTGTTGCGTTTATTGCTTCAGGCCTAACAAGTGGTATCAAAAGCCAATGTTATGACGGGTTCGAGTCCCACTGATGTTGCTGGAGGGGAGATTGTTGGTAGATCGAATGTTGATTGCGTCCATCAACTCTATGTACTCAAACATCGGTATTAAATGGTTCAACTTGGATGTAATGAGTCTATGATAATATACAAAAGTGAAACACCCAAGTGAACGATATGTTGAGTTAGCTTGGAGTGTAAGCTTAAGGGAGTATTGAGGCAACCTAGGTGACAAGGTTGAGTGCCGTGGCTTGGCCCAAAAGCGCCCACTAGAGATATAAGGTTATCTGACCCAAAAGAGGTGTTGATAAGACTTACTTGCATGAAGGAGTCGAAGTGAAACTTGATTAAAACTCACAAATGAACGGGAGAGATTTTTGACATATGGTTCACATGTGAGTAAAAATCTCACATCATTAGAAAATATGAATGAGATGTCCTATATATGCATAAAAGACCCAATAACCTAATAGCTTAGGCTTTTAAGCTTAAGTGATATCCAACATGTATGTATGAGTTTTTTAGTGTGCTCCCATAGGCTCTCTAGTGTGCTCTCATAGGCTCCAAGTGTGATTTATCTCCCCAACAAGTGGTATCAGAGCGAGGATTATTTTGAGACAACGATACAAAAGTAACTTAAGACAGAAGTAAATTTTATTTAAGATCATAGAGGGTGATATAGGTTCTATGATAAAATTGATAGCATCAAATTATTCAATTTAGAAACCTATGATGGAAGATCATTTATACTACAAAGATTTGTATAAATCGGTATTAGGTAATTCGACTAAACTAGCATATATGAAAGATGAAAACTAGTAGGAATTAGGCAAAAAGATGCTGACTACAATAAAAAATAGATTGATATTAACGTGTTCCATCATTTAGCGTAGGAGACAGATACTCACAATGTTTATGAAAAATTGGTAGCATTGTATGAGAGAAAAACATGTATGAATAAAGTTATGCTTGTTAAAAAGCTTACAACTTTATAGTACAGGGATGGATGGTCTATTATAGAGCACTTAAGTCATTTTCAAAATATATTTAATCGAATGACTAGTATGGAGCTTAAGATGGATAATGAAATGAAAGTATTATTTTTTT